TGCTGGGAATTGAACTCAGGACCTCTGGAAGAGCAGCCATGCTCTTAACCTCTGAGCCATCTCTCCAGCCCAGTATCCCCCTTTTTAAATCTGTAGATTATTTTTCTTTCATTAGTCATAAAACTAAGATTTCATATAAAAAGTTCTTTTATAATAAAAGATGGCCCAAGTAGACTGGGTCAGAAGCCAAATTTATTCAGGAAATACTAATAATAACTGATGACAGTTGTCCCTTGTGAATTTACTGGGATGCGACAATTAAAGATCTGATTTGCCGCTTTTATAGGATATCTTTGTTTGTTTACTTGTTTTTCCACAAGTAATTTTTAAAATTACAAGTCCCAGGGGCTGAAGAGCTAGCTCAGCAACACGAGCACTTGCTGCTCTTACAGAGGACCTGCCTGGGTTGCATCCCCAGCACCCACATGCTCACTCACCACTGTGTGTAACTCCAGGTTCAGGGGATCTAACTCCCTCTTCTGGCCTCCTAAGGGCCCTGAACACACACAGCACACAGACAAACACAAAGATAAAACACCCATACACACAAAATAATAAAATAAACATTTTAATTAATTAAAAAATACAAGTCACAAGATGGGGGTGGGGGAAATAAGCCATGCCTCCAGTTGCCTTACAGCAATGGAAAAAAATAACAAATAATAAGAATTCAGTCAATTTAAATATAAAAACAAGTCCAACTACAACAGTGGTTCTCAACCTGTGGGTTGTGACCCCTTTAAGGTCAGACAACCCTCTCACAGGGGTCTCCTGAGATAGCAGAAAACACATATATTTACAAAAACAAACAAATGTGCTCTTGAAGACTATAGCTAGTGTTTTAGAAATGGGGAAATTTGTTCTACGCTGGGGGCAGGACATAACTGTAAGGGTTCTGATGCTGTGGTGCACATCCAGAGATCAAAGGTCAACTTTCAGACATAGATTCTTGCCACTTGTGGGATCCAGGGATCAAACAAAGGTAGACTGACTTGTAAGTATGGTCTTTTAGCACTGAGCCATCTCACAGACCCAGGAAAAAATGTGGTTTTTCTTTATTTTTATTTAAATTAGAAACGAGCCTGTTTCACATGTCAATCCCAGCTCCCTCTCCCTCCCCTCCTCCCCTGCCATCCCCACCAACCCCCACCCCATACCCCCTCTACTACCCAGGGAGGGTGAGGCCCCCCCCATGGGGGATAACCAAAGTATGTCATACCATCCGGGGCAGGGCCTAGGCCCTCCACCATGTGTCCAGTTTGAGAGACCATCCCTCCACATGGGATGGGCTCCCAAAGTCATACGCCAGAGATAAATACTGGTCTACTACCAGAGGCCCCATAGATTGTTGAGGCCTCCTCACTGACATCCTCGTTCAGGGGGTATGGAACAGTCCTATGCTGATTTCCCAGCTATCAGTCTGGGGTCCATGAGCAACCCCTTCTTTAGATCAGCTGTTTCTGTGGGTTTCTCAAGCTTGGTCTTGACCCCTTTGTTCACCATTCCTCCTTCTCTGCAACTGGATTCCAGAGTTCAGCTCAGTGTTTAGTTGTAGGTGTCTGCGTCTGCTTCCATCAGCTACTGGATGAAGGCTATAGGATAGGATATAAGGTAGTCATCAATCTCATTATCGGAGAAAGGCACTTAAGGTAGCCTCTCCACTATTGCTTAGATTGCCAGTTGATGTCATCCTTGTAGATCTCTGGAATTCTCCCTAGTGCCAGATCTCTCCTCAAATCTATAATGGCTTCCCCTATTATGGTATCTCTCATCCTGCTTTCCTCTATTCTTCCCCCAACTCAACCTTCCTGCTCCCCCATTTCCTCCTCCCCCCTCTTTTTCTACACATCTCTTTCTCCCAGCTCCCTCTCCCCTTCCCCCATATTCCCAATCCACTCAGGAGATCCTATCCCCTTCCTCTTCTCTGGGGTACCATACATGTCTCTCTTAGGGTACTCCCTGTTTCCCTGCCTCTCTGGCAGTGTGGACTGTAGGCTGGCAATCCCCTGATCCATATCTAAAATCCACATATGAGTGAGTACATACCATGTTTGTCTTTTTGTCACTGGGTTACCTCTCTCAGAATGGCTTCTTCTAGTTCTATCCATTTGCCTGTGAATTTCAATATTCCATTCTTTTTTCTGCTGAGTAGTACTCCATTGTGTAAATGTACCACATTTTCTCTATCCATTCTCCAGCTGAGGAGCGTCTAGGTTGCTTCCAGGTTCTGGCTATTACAAATAATGCTGCTATGAACATAGCTAAACAGAAATCCTTGTTGTATGAATGTACATCTTTTGGGTATATGACTAAGAGAGGAAATGCTGGATTTTGTGGCAGACTGATACCCATTTTCCTGAGGCATCGCCATACAGATTTCCAAAGTGGCTGTACAAGTTGGCACTCCCACCAGCAGTGGAGGAGTGTTCCCCTTTCCCTACATCCTTTCTAGCACCAAGTGTCTTTGGTGTTTTTGATTTTAGCCATTCTGACAGGAGCAAGATGGTATCTCAGAGTTGTTTTGATTTGCATTTCCCTGATGGCTAAGGATATTGAGCACTTAAGTATCTATCAGCCATTTTAGACTCCTCTATTGAGAATTTTCTATTTAATTCTGTACCCCACTTTTTAATTGGATTATTTGGTGTTTTGGAGACTAGATTCTTGAGTTCATTGTAAATTTTGGAGATCAGCCCTTTGTCAAATGTGGGGTTGGTGAGTATCTTTTCCCATTCTGTGGACTGCCTTTTTGTCTTGTTAACCCTGTCCTTTGCCTTACAGAAGCTTTTCAGTTTCAGGAGGTCCCATTTATTAATTGTTGATTTCAGTGTCTGTGCTACTGGTGTTATGTTCAGGAATCAGTATCCTGTACCAATTCATTCAAGGGTACTTCCTACTTTCTCCTCTAAGAGGTTCAGTGTGACTGAATTTATGTTGAGGTCTTTGATCCATTTGGACTTAAGGTTTGTTCATGGTGATAGATATTGACCTATCTGCAGTCTTCTACATGCTAGCATCCGGTTATGCCAGCACCATTTGTTGAAGATGCTTTCTTTTTTCCCTTGTATATTTTTAGCTTCTTTGTCAAAAATCAGGTGTTCGTAGGTGTGTGGGTTAATATCAGGGTTTTCAATTCGATTCCATTGGTCTACCTGTCTATTTTTGTGCCAATACCAAGCTGTTTTCAGGACTATAGCTCTACAATAGAGCTTGAAGTCCGGGATGGTGATGCCTCCGGAAGTTCTTTATTGCACAGGGTTGTTTTGGCTATCCTGAGGCTTTTGTTTTTCCATATAAAGTTGATTATTGATCTTTCATGGTCTGGGAAGAATTGTGCCGGTATTTTGATGGGGATTGCACTGAATCTGCAGATTGCTTTTGGCAAGATTGCCATTTTTACTACATTGATCCTACCTATCCAAGACCATGGGAGATCTTTCCATTTTCTGGTATCTTCTTTCTTTCTTTAAAGTTTCAAAGTTCTTGCTATACAGGTCTTTTACCTGTTTGGTTAATGTTACCCCAAGATATTTTATGTTGTTTGTGGCTATTGTAAAGGGTGATATTTCTCTGATTTCTTTCTCAGCCAATTTATCATCTGTATATAGTAGGACTACTGATTTTTTTGGGTTAATCTTGTATCCTGCCACTTTGCTGAAGGTGTTTATCAGCTGTAGGAGTTCCCTGGTAGAGTTTTTCGGATCACTTATGTAGACTATCATATCATCTGCAAATAGTGAAAGTTTGACTTCTTCCTTTCCAATTTGTATCCCTTTGATCTCCTTTTCTTGTCTTATTGCTCTAGCTAGAACTTCAAGTACAATATTGAAGAGATATGGAGAGAGTGGACAGCCTTGTCTTGTTCCTGATTTTAGAGGAGTCGCATTGAGTTTCTCTCCATTTAGTTTGAAGTTGACTGTTGGTTTGCTGTATATTGCTTTTATTATGTTTAGGAATGTTCCTGTTATCCCTGATCTTTCCAGGACCTTTTAGCATGAAGGGGTGTTGGATTTTTGTCAAAGGCTTTTTCAACATCTAGTGAGATGATCATGTAGTTTTTCTTTTGCAGTTTGTTTATATGGTGAATTACACTGATAGATTTTTGTATGTTGAAGCATCCCTGCATCCTTGGGATGAAGTTTAAAGGAATTGGACAATTTCCTGGATAGATATCACCTACCAAAGTTAAACCAAGAACAGATAAATAATTTAAATAGACCTATAACCCCTAATGAAATAGAGGCAGTCATCAAAAGTTTCCCAACCAAAAAAAACCCAGGGCCAGATGGTTTCAGTGTAGAATTCTACCAGAAATTCAAAGAAGAGCTAATACCAGTACTCCTCAAACTGTTCCATGCAATAGAACCAGAAGGGTCATTGCCAAACTCTTTTTACAACACTATAATTACCTTGGTACCCAAGCCACACAAAGACACAACTAAGAAAGAACTACAGATCAATATCCCTCATGAACATTGATGCAAAAATACTCAATAAAATACTGGCAAATGGAATCCAATAACACTTCAGAGAAATCATCCACCATGAAAAATATGTTTTTAATGAAGATTGCAGCATGATAGTGAGTAGAATGGGACACAGTTGAAAACATCATTTGTAATTTTTATTAAAATGCTGGGGTTTTAAAACACCCCTAGAAAACAACAGGAAATATTTTCTAGAATTTTAGCTTTTATTGAAGCAACAAAAGGATGGATGGGAGCAAGAATCAGTGTGTTTTTCTTTTTTTCCTACCCCAGTTACAAATATTTCAGGACTTATGGGTCCTGCTTCAACTGTGTAACAGATACAGATAATACATAAGCAAATGTTTTTCACTGTATTCCAATAGAACTCTAAAAATAAACCCAAAGGTACTAATTGCATAGTGTATAACATCACAAAATATTCCTGTGATTTTTCTTTGAAATTTAAAAAGGTAAAAGTATTCTTAGCTCACAGACTGTACCAAAACAGGTGTGAAGACAGATTTGGCTCATCATATAGTTTGTCAACCCTACATGAGAGTGAATTCACTATATAACAAAAAAAAGAATTGAAAATCTTCAGTAAGAAAAATAATTACCCACAAAGTGAATGCAGGAAGAAATTAAGCAACACTGTATAATTACTACCTCACAAAAACAACTTAAGGAAGGAAGGGTCTTTTCCAGCTCACAGCCCACCCAAGTGCTTTAGTCTATCCTGGGGGCAGAAGCTAGAGGCAGCTGTCACACTGACTCTCCGGGTGGGAGGCAGAGATGCACACTGCTGTTAGCACCGTTCTTCTTTTATTCAGTCCAGGGCTCCAGTGGCAATACCACACTTCGGGCAGGTCTCCCACCTCAGCTAACCTAATATCAAAAATCCCTCACAGGCATACTTAGAGATGTGTGACCCTTTAAGTTGGTAGTCAAAGTTAACATTCAAGTACTACTATGAAAATAACTTCAGGGACTGGAAAGAAGGCTCAGTGGTTAAGAATACTTGCTGTTTTTCAGAGGACCAGCACCCACACAGCAGATAACAACTGGCTGTAATTCCAGGGAATCCAATGTGCTTTGCTGGCCTCCAAGGGCACTGCACACAGTGGTGTATTTACATGTAAGCAAAACACTCATACAAATAAGAGAGAAATAAATATTTTTTAAAGAAAACTTCAAATTCAGAATTCCATATCTATTAAAAATGTGAGGTTCAAATATTTTGGAGTTTTATAGATGCAAAATTTTGCTTCTCACAGAACATTTCTGGAAGGATATCAGATGGTGCTCATCATAAAAGTAACTGGGACCTTGGTACAGGAAATAGTGAAATGCTCTGAGCTATTGTAGGCTGTGGTGCAGCTCAGTGGTGGAGCATGCCTTAAGGGCATGTGCAAAGCCCTGACCTTATCACCAGCATCCCTCTTACCCCCCAAAAAGCAACTGTGAGTAATGAAATATCTCAGTTACTTTTCTGTTGCTGTGATAAAACCAACTTATAGAGAAAGGAGTTTGTCTTATGATTCCAAAGGTATGAGCCAGACATCATGGCAGGGAAGTGTAAGGTCTAAGAGTAAGGAAGTGTAAGGCCAACATATGAACCTATGGGAGACGGTTTCATTTTATTATACACAGAAACAGTCTCTTAACTCTCAGAAAGTAAAAGAAGCAAACTATAATAGTTGTAACTCAGTTCACTCTCTCAAAAAAAAAAAAAAAACACGGTAGGGACTTAGCAATTAAGAGCACAGACTGGTCTTGCAGAGACCTGACTTTGGTTCTGAGCACCCATGCCAGGCAGTTGTGGCTTGCCTGGAACTGGCTTTGGAGACCAGGCTGACCTTGAACTCAAGAGATCTACCCACATCTCTTCAAGTGCTGGTATAAAAGGTGTGTTTATCACAAAGCATGGCTTACATATTTTTTTAAAGATTTATATGTATGCATCAGTGTGTTTGTGTGAGTACCCAGAGAGACCAGACAGTGGTGTTAGATTCCTTGGAGCCGAAATCAACAGGCATATGTGAGCCACCCAGTGTGGGTGCTGGGATCGAAACTCCAGTCCTTTAATAAAGCAGTGAGCATTCTCTACCTCCAGCCCATTTTAGCACTCCCCCACCCACTGTCGGTACCCTCCTTTTAAAGGGGGGAAAAGATAGGTATCGGGTCTAAATGCTTAGTATGTTTGCATAAACACAAGAGAAACTTACTATCAGTTAAAGATAAAATAGAATTGGATCAAGCAAAAAAAAAAAATTCAAGTTGTGGTAGCACCAAGAAAAGTGTGAGTACGCATGGAACAAAGAGGAGGAAGGGGATACAGGTCAAGGGTCAAGAGAGGAGATTCAGTCACCAGCTGTCGTGAAATTCAACCAGTCCATATGAGATGCTCTTGTCAGGAAGCCCTCTTCTCATGTGGTGGGAGATAAGGCTTGTATAGACCACATGTGGGTGCTGCAGTCTCTAGGGAAGAGAAGGCAGCAGCCACAGCCTGTACAGGAGTGCTAGAATGTCAGCCAAGGACAGGGAAGGTCTGTTCCACATTAGCAGTTGATTACCCCAAATCCAAAGACTACAACTGAGGGCTTCATCTCATGAAGAAGTACAGACATCAGGATGAGTAAATGTCACACAGAAATTGTTAGCTACATATCAGAAAAAGGAAGAACGTTTGAGAGCTGGCCAAGTCCCCAGCTGGGCAGGTTACCTGACTCCTCCAGCTCAGTTTCAGAAGATCCTGGTAACCACCTTCCAGAGTCACTGTGAGGCTCAGAGATGGTACAGGTAAACAGCTGGCATCCAGCCACAGGGAATAGTAGCTATGACTACTCTGGGTAGAGAGTTGGAGTCTGTAACATCACACACATGAAAATTTGGAGTTAGGCAATACTAAACTCAAGTCTTTGTTCCACTACTCACTAGTATGAGCCTGGGTTTCCCAGCCTCAGTATCCCCTTCCAGTGAAACCTCTGCCACATCAAGTTATTTTAAGATTTAAAGAAGACTATGTCTGTAACTAAATAAAGTCTTTGGGCCTAGTTCTCTAATAAAAAAAAAAAACAGTGGCTATTTACTTCTACAGCTTCTGTGACCATGGCCCTATTTACATAACCTCTACCAAGTAGAGTTTAGTCAGGCATGACTAGCAATCATCATTCCCAGAGCACCACTAGTACAGAAAATATGTGAGGTGGTGTATGTAGTATCTCCAACAGAACCTGGCATATGGATGGAAACAGCTGGACTTACTTGCTTAATCTTAGCGCTAGATCGTGGGCTTCTCAAAAGCAAAGAGCCTCTTTTTCAATCTTGTATGTAACCCCATCACTTTGTAATTGTTAGGGACCTGCCTCAGCAAATATTTACTATAAAGTACAGAAAGCAACACTACTCCAGCTGATCCCACCACAAAGATGTCCTCTCCAAGCCCAGAACACACAACCTTTAAATGCCTTGTAAAGGCACGTAAAATTCTTCCCATCTACAGTCCTAAATTGCCCCTGTGTCATGGTCTAACTCCAGCTTCAGTCAACAGCCAGTAAATGACCCAGACCTAAGACTGAATACACTGCGGATAAGCATGGCTTGAGGACAAATTATTATAACAAAGAACAGCATGAAAATTCAACCCAGTAAATGAACCCAGAAAGACCTGCACAACCGTATGTGAGGAAAGCAGGTCACACCTTTATAATTGGCATCCTTGTGTTTTCTACAACAAAGTAAATTAGGATCCCAGCACCCACACAGTAAGACTAGTGTTCCCCAAAATGTCTGGAACCCCATCTCTGAAATGGGTTACTGGCTTCTAGCCTAGGTGGGCCCCAGTTTCTGTGAGAGACCATCTCACAGAAGGAGTGGAAAGTAATAGAACACGACACTAACACCCTTTTCTGGTTGTCACATACACAGCTATGAGCGCTAACAAATACACACATACACCCAGACAAGCTACACATCTAAATTAAATTGGGGGGGGGGTGAATCAACAGGTAAAGGTGCTTGTTAAAATCTGTAGACCCGAGTTTGATTCCCCAAACCTACATAAAGATGGAACCAACCTCACAAAGTTGTCCTCTGCTCTCCACACGTGACTTCACACACACATACCCATCATGCACACACGAGGATTAGTTTTAAAATTGCTTTAGTGAAGCAATCCAGAGAGAACTATTATTTATGTTTCAGAATACTTAAGTTACTAGCATTCAAAAACAGGGCTTTAAAAATGCTTGTGTTTCCTAAAGCAGTAGCTTGTCCATTTAGGTAGTTTAGAAAAATGGTTCTATCCAGACATAGTTGCACACACCTGTAATCCTAAGACTTGGGCATTTGAGGCAGGAAAACCATACATTTGAGGTCAGCCAAGACTACATAATGAGACCCTACCTTTTAAAAAGTTGTTTTGGGTTTAAGGAGCTAGAAGGATGCCTCAGAACTTGCTACTCTTACAGAGCACCCAGATTTGGTTACCAGCGCCTACTAGGCAGCTCATAACCATCTATCATTCCAGTTCCAGAGACTCTTACACCCTCTTCTGGCCTTTGTGTGCACTGGCAACACATAGTACATCCAGGCAAAACACACATAAAATAAAAATAATCAGCCGGGCGTTGGTGGCGCACGCCATTTAATCCCAGCACTCGGGAGGCAGAGGCAGGCGGATCACTGTGAGTTTGAGGCCAGCCTGGTCTCCAGAGCGAGTGCCAGGATAGGCTCCAAAGCTACACAGAGAAACCCTGTCTTGAAAAACCAAATAATAATAATTATTATTATCTGTATTATTTTAAGATTTCTGGGTATTTTGTGGGTTTATTTTATTTTGTTGGGGTGGGAGTATTTTGTTTTTCAAGACAGGATTTCTCTGTGTAACCCTTGGCTGTCCTGGAACTTGCTCTATAGACAAGGCAGACCTTGAACTCACGGAGATCAGCCTGCCTCTGTCTCCCGAGTGCTGGGATTAAAGGAGTGCACCACCACCACCTAACTTTATTAATGTTCTTAATTAAGGCAAATCAACTTTCTGAGGCAGGAAAGTGTGTTAGTAGACACTAGGAACTTCTATTGCATTTGTGTGTATGTGTAAGCATGTGCATGCATATCATGACACGCATGTGGAGGTCAGAGGACAGCTTACGAGAGTGTTCGTCCCCTTGGCAGAAAGCACCTCTATCTGCTGAGCCATGTCATAGGCCTGCATCAGGAGACTTGTTAAAGTTGGGACGAGAGATTTTCAAGAAACTAGATAAAGGAAGTTGCATGAACTTAATGTGCAATTTTCAAAAGATCTCATTTAATTGAATTTCAATAAAGGGCCTAAGATATGTTTTTAATTTAAAATACAAGAACAAGCCTGTTAGCATTCAGTATGGAAATGGCTTCTAAACAAGAGGCAGTTTTAAGGGTGTGCCCTCTGGTTGACCATGCGCCACACCAATGAATATAAGGGTAACACAGATTGGTGTACTTCTTAACTTAAAAAGCTGGAGATGGCTTAGCCATTAAAGGCTAGGCTCACAACGTGTGGGGAGGGCTTGCATTTGAATGGTATGGAATATATATGAATGGCATGAAATCAGGAGATGAGAGAGGCGGGGTGGGTATGGAAGGAGTTGTGGGAGGAGTGGGGCCAAATACATTGTATGCATATATGAAATTCTCAAAGGATGAAAGAAAATACATCAGAAAAAAAATAAGCTGGACATGATGGCACACGTTTTTATTCCCAGCACTCTAGAGGCATATGCAGGTGGGGCTCTCGTGAGTTCACAGCCAGCCAGGGCTATAGTGGGAACCTGTTTCAAAAGGGAGATAGAAGACTGGGGATGGGCCGGGCGGTGGTGGTGCACGCCTTTAATCCCAGCACTCGGGAGGCAGAGGCGGGAGGATCTGTGTGAGTCAGAGGCCAACCTGGTCTACAGAGCGAGTGTCAGGATAGGCTCCAAAGCTACACAGAGAAACCCTGTCTCGAAAAAAAAAAAAAAAAAATGGGGATGTGGCTCAGTTGGTACTTTGCTTGCTTCTCACACACCCAGCTCCCCAAGTTCTAGCCCCAGTATTGTTGCATAAACTGAGTGTAGTGGCACCTGCCTGCAGTCCCAGTACTTGGAAGACACAGGACACAGGTAGGAGGATCCGGAGTTTGAAACTACATGGGCTACATTAGAGAGCCTGTCTCAAAGTAAAAATCTGATTCACACTTCTGCTTCTGGATTACAAAGGCTCCAAAGAACTAGTGAATATTTTATTCGCTTCTTATACCTACCATGTCTGAGATTTCCCACAGCAAGCCCAGAGTCAAATATTCTAGCCCTTTGTTTATGCAAATAATCAGAATTTCAGATATTTGGCTCAAACCACAACTCCCAGCTAACCCTCAAACTACATACAATCCATTGTCACACGATGTATGTGCCATCTCCATCTCCACTCACTCTGGGTAGTGTTTCCATCCCAGGAATTTGCAGACCCAGCATACTTCTGCCCAAAAATTGCTTAATTTGATAGGGAAAACTTATTTAGGAAGGCTAATTTCTACAAAGAAGGAATATTGCTGGCAGGATTGAGCACTGTCTGCCTTCATACTTTTGTACTAACGAAAAAGCTGCTATTTTATGCTTGTTTCTAGTGATCTGCTTTTACCCTGACTCCTCTGCTCATGGCTTCACAGATAACACCTCATAAAGTAATTGGTGTTTGTTTTTTCTTAAGACAGGGCTACTTTGTGTAACAGCCCTGGCTATCCTGGGACTGGCTTTGTAGACCAGGCTAGCCCACCTGCCTCTGCCTCCCAAGTACTGGGATTTAAAGTGTACACCACCACACCCAGCTAAGTATTTGGTTTTTTGCTTAGTAATGTAGCCCCGACTGGCCTGAACATTACTGTGTACATCAAGCTGGTCTCTAATTCTTAGAGATCCACCTGCCTCTGTTCTAAGCGTTGGATCTGACAGACACACACCGACTCTGCCGGTGCCTGTTGAGTCCAAAGGTTATCATCAGATCTTCTGTAGGTGGAGGTACAGGTGGCCATGAGCCCACCCAAAATGGATCCTGGGAAACAAACTCAGGTCCTCTGCAAGAGCAGTAAATACCCATAACCATTCAGCTATCTCTGTAGCCTGCAGAATCTTTTGAGTGACATTTCAAGTAAACAAATGAACACAATTTGCCAGAAGGAGGGGCACATTGGGTAACTGAAGGACACTAAACCCTAAGGCTAACTAACTCATCCCAAACAGGACATCTGGATAGAACATGCAGAAGTGAGACCAGGGAATTCAGTCACTAGAAAACAGCATTATTCAAGCAAGAAAGCAGGGGGCCCTCAACTAGTGGCAGGAAAACAGCTGTGTCCACTGGGTGCAGTGTGTAGAGCAACTGGCTGGATTCAAAGAGGGGAGGAGGGAAAGGACACAATTGAGATATTGGGATTCTGACTTTGAATGGCACCTGGCTCACTAAAACAGGGAGCAACAGGTCAGCAGGAAAGTGAGTCCAGGTTTAAGTATGTTGTCACCCTTGAAAAGTTATCTAGTAGGCAGCCAGATCTATGGAGGGTTAGAAGTACAGGCGAAGTGGTGGTAAACCTGGGAAAGACCAAGATTGCCCAGGAGTGCAAAAGAAGAGTTCAGCCCACAGCATGCCTCACAGTGCTGCTGAAGGGCAAGAGGTAGACCAGGCTTCAAATACACTAGTGTTAACCTGGGTGATTAGGAGGTGGCCTCTGGCACAGTGTAAATTTAATTCTATCCTTGGGCTGTACTAACTAGAAACTCAAGATCCAGTTGTGCATCTAGGTGTTACCTAATGATGTTTCCACAGCACTAACAAAAAGAATGGTTACTGAACCATCCCTTTTGGTTTAGTTTGTTTCGTGGCCTTACCTAGCTGGCCTGGAACTCAGTGTATACCAGGATGTGCCCTGTTACGTGGCTTGTATGGTGTTGGGGGGAGGGAGTTGGTTTTATTCACAAGTAATCTTGCCTCCAATAGGATTATGTGTCGCAATCAAACTCTGCTAAACCCTAGTATTTCCCTCTGAAAACAAGAGTTACACTTGGTAATTTCTGATGTATCAGACCCTGAGCACCCCCACCAGGTAGTTGGGAGCTCATGAGTCAAGGAAAATAATGTAGGGTTTGGTAACATGCCCAGAGTCACACACTGATCAAACACAGATCAGAATCTGACTTTAGAATCTTAGCTCCATGACCCATGTTTTAATCCTTGAGCCACCATTCCAAGTGGCTTCCATCAGGCCACCATAGCTCAGGGAGGCTGGTTTCACTCATTCCTATTACATTGTATCCTAGCATTTGGTTCAAGCTCTGCAGTTTTTCCTTGAGACTGTCCTGGAACTCCCTCTACAGACCAGGCTGATCTGGAATTGACAGAGATCCACCTGCCCTCTGCCACCCAAGTGCTGAGATTAAATGCTTGCGCCACCAACGCCGGACTCAAGCTCAGCAATTTGAGTTCAAATATTTACTGAATTGATAGTGTCACTTCTAACTCTGAAAATACATCTTTTCCTCAGACCTGTGTTGAGGTATTTTAGACACTAGCAGCATGCACACAGCAAGTTAGGGACCAAGGAAAGAAAAATGTATTCCATCTTGACAGGAATAAGCAGTCCTAACTTATTGCTAAAATCAACTTTGATACTACTCCACACCCCTTAAAGCAAAGCTACTCTCATATTGCCTCCTTACCTAGTATATCCCACTACCATGGACACTCAGGGATGGAGAGTTGTGGAATAGGAACAAATTAAGAATGTAGGATTTTCCCTGCCCTCGGGAGGCAGAGGCAGGCAGACCTCTGGGAGTTCAAGGCCAGCCTGGTCTCCAGAACAAGTGCCAGGACAGGCTCCAAAGCTACACAGAGAAACCCTGTCTCGAAAAACAAACAAACAAACAAACAAACAAACAAACAAAAGAATGTAGGATTTTTGCAGGGACCAAGCTTGAGCATCACAAACTGGAGTCGCAGGGAAGTATTCCAAACACTAGGTAGGCTGTTTTTAATGTTTAACCTTCTCTATCCTCTACTCAAAATGTTTTGGATTTAGGGGGGGAGGGGAGAATGTTGGAGAGGTGGCTTAGTGGTTATTGTACTGTTTCCCTTGCTGAGAACCCAAGTTTAGTTCCCAGAACCCACATGAAAGCTCACAACCATTTGTAATCCAGTTCCAGAGGGTCCAATACCCTCTTCAGATCACCACACATGGTTCACATTGCATATATGTAGGCCACACTTATATACAGAAAATAAATGTAAAAAACAAAATTAGGGGGCTGGATATGTGGCTCCAGGATAAAGCACTTGTCTATTATATGCAAGGTCCAAATAACAAGGCTACACCAAGGATGTCAAGTACTGCTAACATAAAACAATTCAGTCAATGACCACATTTTCTAGGCTCAAATTAGTATCAGAATACTTACTTCAGTACCTCAGGGCAGGCAACCATCATTCACAAGAGATAAATACTGAATATGGGAATCATGGCATTCCAAGGTTCTAAAGGGAACAATGAGAATTAGAATTCTTCCTAGAATGAATAGGAGAAAAATTCACAAGCAGACTTGAAGTCTGTAACAGATACACTTGTACATCTAAATGTTTCTTTCAACATGGTCCAAGGAGGGAGGCTGTAATACAAAAGCAGTCAATTGGAAAGTTCCCCTTTCTAGAAATACCAGTGATGAGAACACTCATAAAATTCCTAACTCTGCTTTTTGACAAATCCTAGCATGGACTTGAGCTTTAGGAACGTCTCTAGACAGTGATCACTTCACAGCAGCTCAGTTGTGGGTAAGCTGCCAGCTATGTGAGGGTCATTTTTCAGGCTGGCCTTCCAAATCTCTGCATTGCTATACTGGCATGTATCTAGATGTGTTTAAGGTAAATGTTTTTAAAAAAAAAAAAAAAAAAAAAAAAAAAAAACTAATTTTGCTTGTCCTTTCAGCTCCTTTGAAGATTATGAAGCAGATGAACCTGTGTCTCCCTCTGAATTTGGAAACAAGGGTAATAAAATAGTCACTTCAAGCCTTTCAGAGAAATGTGGAAAGCTTCAGGCAGTGGATGAAGAGTAGTTGCCAACATCTACACAGAAGGATGATGTGTAGGGATGTTCTAGTTTGCACACTGCTTTGTAAAGGTTTTGATTGCTCCAAGTGCACTAGAAACTACAATGCTCTTAAGTAATTCAGCACAGGAGACCTCTCGTGCAGACCTCGTACAGAGCTCTTCCTTGGAAGTACATACTGTCATCACTCTCCAAAGTCTGCAGCCCACACTCTACACCCCTCAGTGTATGGAGGCTTTCTTGGAAACAAGGCCAAGCACAGTTCTCTGCACAAAAAGAAGCTGCCTTAGTATTGGTCAGCCTCCCTGGGGTCCCTCAGGCTTCTACAGAACCTAGAAGAAAACTTGAGTCAAAAATTCTGGAACTTGAAAGGGGCCTCTAGAATTGACTTTGTCCTGGTAACTAAAGCACTGCCAAACATCTCAGAGACTACTTTTATGTACTGGAGTTCAGGGACCTTGAACTTACCTGGTTTAATGTAATTTCACCATGACCTGCCAAACTGCTAGTCACTTTACATTCTCAGGTATTGTAACCACTAGGCCCTTCCAACTGTGCTGGCAAGCTCAGCAGCCTCTGCATCTGACTGTGGGTCTTGTACAAAATCTCAAGTCCTTCCAATGAAAATAAGTATAGAATCTGGCACTCCTGATAGCATTTTAGCCAACTAATGGATGACTGTTAATCTACAGATTAGTTGATGATCTATCTTCATTTTTAGCAGGCCTAACTGAAGACTTCAGGAACGTGACATACCATGGAAACTACTCACTATACGTATTGCCTCCCTTTCTTAAATACTAGAGTAAGCCAAAAGCAAAAGTATTCCTTACTTTGTGTGGAAAAGAAACTACTACACCAGATATTCACTCTCCTCATTACTATCAAACTTGGAAGATGATGATGATTCTCACCCACAGTAGAAAACCTTTTCTCTGTAGTGGTAAATTCAAAACCCTGTATTTTTCAACAGGCCACAGTGCAGCCAAATCCTACAATGCTTCTTATCCTTCATGCTGGGAGAAAAAATACTACAAAAAGGATGGACATCTCTAAAGCACAGCATTTTATTATCCATATCTGCCAAAGTCAACTTTTCCCTATTCCTTTTTTGTTTTGTTTTCAAAGTCTTTTAAAGGCTCAGAATAACCTCCCTTTTCTCTCCATCCTAATTATCTTGCTGGTAAAAAGGCCAAGCACTGAAATAACCAAACCTTGGATGATGGTAGGCTGAACGTGGAGAGAAAAAAAAAAAAAAAAAAGAAATGTCCATCAACTAATACTAGAAGTTAGTAAGCCCAGCAACCCTGCCTGTCACGAGATCCTCCAGCTCTCTGGTTATTTTTACCTTCATGACCACAATTAATCTCCCACATAACCACTACAGAAACTGCTAACTATTACAACTAATAGCTCACCCAGCTAATGAAAACCTAACAGTGACTACACTTGGAGAAAATTTTACAAGAAACATCTAGATGTGATGGCACATGACTAAGATGTCAGGATTTAGGTAGTTAAGGCAGGAGATAGAGGATGCACTCTATACAATAGCCTAAACACACTGATAAATTTTGCTTACTATATGCTAGAACTCAGACGAGACTGAGGCAAGGAGGATCACCAGCTCAAAGTTTGAGACCAGGGTCAGTGAAACCCTGTTTTATAATTATGTGATGTTACCACCATCCCATCCAATCTTTAGCAGCTGGGGGAGGGGGAGTATTTTAATTTCAAATAAAAATACAAGAGGGTAATACTTGTTTTAAGGCAATTTAAAAGATTTTATCAGCTATGTGTTCTAAACTATTTGAGACTCACCAAAAAGCACAATATAAAATTCAACTTTATAATATCCCTTAAAAGCCATGAGCATAGGGCTGAGCTAGCTAGGCCTCACTAGCTGCACTGAAGTTGTGTGCAACTTGTACTTTATCTGTGGTGCTGGGAATCAAAACTTAGAACCATCCACATGCTAAGAATGCAGTCCGCCTTCAGCCTTCTTTTTAACTTATTTTCTCCCTTCTGTCTTACTGAAACCCTTTTACTTTCCATCAATGCCCATCAACACCACACAGCTTGAGATGAATTAATTTGGATTACATGAATTATACTTTCAAGAATTACCTTATTCCCGAACTGGAAGTGCCAAGTTGTGACGGTACCCCAAGAACCATGGAAAAGATGAAGTATAATCTAAATCACTGGTTCTCAACCCTCCTAATGCTGCAACCCTTTCATACAGTTCCTCATGTTGTGATGACCCCAACCATGAAGTTATTTTTGTTGCTACTTCATAACTGTAATTTTTGTTGAGTCATAATATACACCTGATATGTGACCCCCTCAAGGGTTGTGACCCACAGGTTAAAAACCACTGATCTAAATATTATATAATGAAAGGGCGGTTTCAGCTGGGCGTTGGTGGTGCACGCATTTAATCCCAGCACTCGGGAGGTGGAGGCAGGTGGATCTCTGTGAGCCTGGTCTACAGAGGGAGTTCCAGGACAGGCTCCAACCCAATACAGAGAAACCCTGTCTCAAAAAATAAATTTTTTTAAAAAATGAAAGGGTGGTGTCATAGCATAATTGCCAAGGTAATCAAACTAGTAAAATTCTGTATAGTTCCCTGTATCTATCTTATCTGTTTCTATACTGTTCATAATGTTTAATGAGAAAAAAATACCAAAATTCTAATTCAGCTATCATTTTCTCAGCTTTGAAAGTGTTTGACTAGATATGGTGCATGATTTGTTTTCCCCTTTTCACCAAACAAAATAAAGCTGTCAAATGTATGAGCTGTGTTCATTACACATTTTTGATTTTAGATACACTTACAAATTAATTTTTATGCCTATAGGAAAAGTTGAGTTTTTTAAGAATAACTTTTTGAAGCCTTGGGAATACTATAAAGTCAAGTCTAAAGGGTACTATCTCACTGAGAAGCGTTTTCCTCTGGGATAAAGGGACCACAGGAGACTTTAGCTTTATCCCTAGATTAGAAGACTGTATCACTACACATTATTGGGTATCTAAAATGAAACCAAGAATATTAGACCTAGATCCTACAGTCTTGAGATGTCCTAAAAGCACTGTTGCCTATGGAAAAACGAAAGTTTACTCATTTAACATATTTACTTTTCTTCAGTAAGGTTATCGTGGAATTTTTTTTTTAAAGAAAGCAGCTACACAGACCCTTTACACCCTAGTGCTTCATGATGAAACTATACACTCGCTGAATTGAACCAAAAAGAGAAATTGTAAACTCTCTAATGACAAGGACTCAGATTATTCAAGATAGACCAATTTCAATGCAGTCTTGTTTGTCTTGTTTAGTAATTTCTTATCCTGATAGATATATCCAGTTCCTTCAGTAAATTCTTAGTTACTAAGTCAGCATTTGTCAGCATTATTTTTAAAAACCATGTTATAAGGAAAACATAAAAACCAAGGCACTGTAAGTACTCTTCCCCAGGCTAATACAGACCATTCAGAACATGCTATCCCAAACTCCTCAGTATTCTACAACATAGAATTAGAAAACTATCATTTATTGATAGACGTAAGGTGTGATACAGGTTTCCAAAAATGTGGCAGTGAGAATACCAGCATAAAAAAGAGAAACTTGTGCTAAAAACAACCTGAATTCATCATTGGCAATATTACATAACAATCAAGGTCCTCACATACTGATTTCCACTTTGTCTATATTGCCAATCTCCCATGCATCAAAAAACAAAGATTATCAAATTTTGAAAGCAATGAGGTACTCCATGAATTTTAAGATCGTATTAGGAAAGTCTGGGAGATTTGCAAAATATAGCCTAATTATCCATGTGTACAATCTCATTTCTAGTCATTTTTGCAGTGATCATTAGTGAATAAAAAACAGATTTACATGATTATATAGCAGGGCATCTGGTCCAACACAAACTGTTACAAACTTTAGGTAAATACATGTTTCATAAGACACTGCTACCACTTATAGGATTTAAATAAAATTCCAAAACTTGGTAAGCAAATAAAGACAAGACAACTAAGAAGCATTTTCCACCATTTACTCTTGTTATCAAAAATAGTTCAACTCTTCTTGCAAAACAAAAACAGAATCGTACATACTGGACACATACATCACATTTTTCTTCCTATGGCTTTAGCCCACCCCCGCCCCACCAAAAGAGACCAAAAAAATTTTTTTTGTTTTTTTTTTGTTTTTTGTTTTTTTTTAAAAAGCCCAATGACAAGAACAAAACGACTACCTGACCACATTCACAGAAAATGACACCAGGATACACTACAAAACAGGAGGTGTCATCTGCTCTGTGTCCAAAGGATTCTTCTCCATGTCTTTATGAGGCGAGTAACCATCATTGAACATGCTGTGTGCCAAATCAAACAACTCCAACACATCCGATCTCACTAGATGGTGAATGCAGTAGAAACTGGAACTTCCCTAGCAGTATTTTTCTTAAAAGTAAGCACTGCCAAAGCAGCAACTCTTTGAAATCACAAGCTTCTCTACACCTAGTCAGTCCTTGTTACCTGGGCTGTGCTCTTTTCAAGCAACTGACTAGACTTCCCTTCAACAGAATGTTTGTCTTCCCCATAAAGTTAATAGGAAGAAGTACATTAAAACTCAAACACAGTTTGTGCTTTACATGCAAAAGAGCATTCTAAAGAAAATCCTCCGAGCTTTACACCCACCTAAATGCAAAGGCTTCATCAAAGGCATTTTATTAAGGCCTTGATAAAGAAGCCTTTCTTAGGAACAGCACCCTTTAAAAGCCAAAAAAAAAAAAAAGAAAGAAAGAAAGGAGCATATTCAAGGTAAAGGCTGTGGCAAATAAACAGGAATTAAAAATCAAAGAAGTCATCAATGGCAATAAGTATAATGCATAAATCTGGGCATGTTTGGGGCATTATTCCAAAATTATTCTAAATAAAACCCAATTTTTAAATTCTATATTTTAAAAAAATGTCATGAACTATACAAATTCAATTATGTTCAGAATAAAACTCGTCACTTTATTTACCAAATAGAACATTGCTCAAGTGAAAGGACTTAGGATTTTCTCATAGAAGTGAGTCAGATAACTAGAAAGGGGGCTGAACTCATAAATATTTAAAGCATAAACAGCTTCTTAACATTTGTGGTCTGACATGGCTACTTTTCAAAAAAAAAAAAAAAAAAAAAAAGCACAATCTTTATGGACTGACTAGATACCACTTCCTTACATTTAATCATCAACTTTGATTATGCACAAAGCATGACCATAAACAATGAGGTTATTGTTATTTTCCTTGCCAAAGTTCATTTTGTATAAATCGGTTGCATCAGCATTTGTTCTCAAACTATGAGATTCTATAAGAACTAAGTACATATAGTTGTAGGGTTACTCCTCCATTATCTGCAAACTATTTCCCCGACACTAACACATATAACTTAGCAATGAAAACACTTGATACAAGTGATCTATATGCAGGAGCTCCGGCAAGTTAAACCAACAGAACCATAGCTGCCGTAAAACTGTAGCTATTTCCTACCAGGGGTAGGTTTCAAGACCCACTGATTTAACAGTCGAATCTCATATCTATAGCTTCATCCAAACTTTTATCATCATGTGTACTGGCAGCTAAAAATGTCGTTACTGGGGACCCTGTGACATTAATTACACTGGTGCTGGTACTTGCGTTACGCACAGCAATGCTAGTCACATTAATGCCCAAAGTGAGCCTGGTCTGCTCCAAGGCCTTTTCTGGCACCGCAAATGCCTCCAGCTTCTTCTCCCCATTGGCCATATAGGAGTTTTGGCAGCCACGACATATACAATCTAAGCAGGCTTTCCGGTTAGAGTAGCAAGGGCAGCGTTGGCCGCGGCATGTAAGAACACTTGGATTTTGAGTAGCACGCCCACATTTACATCCTTTCTTTTCCTGGGGCTTTTTGTACACAGTCTTGGTAGGACTTCCTGGCATAAAATGATGACTAGGAATCTTTTCCTTTACTGCTTTGTCTTTTTTAAGAATACCTGGCTTGGATTTAGAGTGGGATTTCTTGGATCCGTGTTCATGACTCTTTTTCATGCTTTTAGTAGATAAAAGTACAGTTTTGCTGATCTTGGGTGTCGTGCCTCCATTGGGAACAGTTGCTATAGGCTGAAGAGAGATTTTGCTCTCCCGCTTCACTGTCACAGGAGCAGATGCCCCCAGTGTTGGGCCTCGAATAATGGTAGAAATTGGAAGTGGCTGAACTTTCTCGCTGTCGCTTTCAGATCTGGATCTTTTTCGATTCAACTTTGCTACCTTCGGAGTTGCTGCTGTACATGATAACCCATGAAGTGTAGGGCTGGTAGACATGAAAACATTATGGCTAAGAGACTGGGAAGAAAGCTGCAAAAAAGGTCCATTGGATACAGTGGCTTCCAAGTTTGGCTGCAAATTAGGACAGCAAACCTCTGTATTTGAAACAGTTTCTAAACTTCGGAGGACTTCCTCAACACTCAGCAAGAGGGAGTCACCAGGTTTTATGTCTTCACTGAAACTACAGATATCAATACCTGTGGAGCATAAATCAGTGGCTACCGTGTCACAGACAGGTGGCAGGCTGTCAGACAGATCCTCAGTTTTTATATCAACAGTATTACACACGTCAATCGTATTGGGATGTTCAGGTGAGGGGAGATTTAGACCAAATCTATCTATTGAAAGCCCGTTGTAAGTAGGCAAACCATTGATAACAGAACTGCCGATAGCAATGCTGAGGGTGCTTTCAGACATTGGAGATAAACTAGCTTGAGGGTCAGCTGTGGGTTCTGAGGTTGAAGGTAAAGGGGAATGTGTCAAACACAGAGTGAAGGATGAATCTGAAGGTTTCTCTGTCTCCTCACAAAACAATGATCCATCGTTGAGCAACGCTAAAATATCAGAAGAACAGTCAACTGCTTCTATTATATCCCGCGCCAGTGTCGTCTGGGTTATATATTCACACAGTTTCTTGTAGCAGTTCACGAGGATGCTGAGCTGCTTGTTTTCCTCAAACTGCTCATAGTCTTTGCACCAGCTACATGAAGGTTTCATCATCATTTTCTTGCCTTTACAACTTTTGCAGACATAGTGTTGGCAGGTGGAGTTGGTGGGTGCAATAGGATCTTGTAGCAAATGTCCTAAGAGGGAGGAGGAGGAAAACATAGATTTTAGTAAAACTAATTTGCAGTTTCATATAATGGAGTTCAGCTATTATTCTCTTAAACTGAAATTGGTTAAACTCACTAGACTGAGGGGGGTATATATACAGAGATAACTGGAGAAAACAACAGCTCTCTTCATTTCTGTAATACATTCTCCATTCTGTTATCTCAAACCAGTCTTCCTTGATGCTGGTATTCTCCACAAAATGTTACCACCAACCTTCTTATGGTCTTCTCTCCAAAGGCTATCAAGAGGTAAAGCTCAATGGCCAAAAACAAGAGGCTTAAAATCCCTGAGGCCTCAAACTAACACAACATAATAGACAACTTATTGAACAACCAGTACAAATGTTAATTTTGACCAGTTTATATATATGAACCATAAACTTTTAAGACCAAAATGTAAACTACAGTGGAAGAGGGCCTCATTTATTAAAAGAAAAAGGAGTTGTACGTATTCAACTCAAAATCCTCTACAAGGAAACAAAATGAAGGGAAATGTGAGCCAGACACAATAGTGCACACCTTAAATCTCAGCACTCTGGAGGCAGAGGCAGGGAGATCTCTGAGTCCTGGGCCATCCTGGTCTATACAGTTGAGTTCCAGGACAGCAAGGACTACATAGAGAAACCCTGTCTCAAAAGACCTGAGTGGGGGGTCACAACACCACCACCATCCCTGGCTCAATACCAACTCTTTGTCAAGTTAATAACTTACTTGTTCGAGTCCACACACTGTTGCAGGCTGTTATGTTTTAACTGATGACAATAAAGAAAAACAGAATACTGAACTCTAATGACAGAATTCAAAACAGCTATCTGTAGTAAGCCACAGGCATCCTAAGTGCAGCAACATATTACGAAGGTGAAAGTGGGGCTGGGAAGTTGGCTCAGCTTGTAAGGACGCCAGCTAACAACAAGTGTGATGCAGGCATGTGGAGCTGCACTCAAATCCCCAGAAACTACACACAAAACTGGTCCACAAAACATTTCCACACCAGTAAACATTACAGCAAGGGTAGGACAGTGGGAAGGATCATTGGAGCTCCAGGTTCAGTGAGATTTACTTTCAATACTATAAGGTGTGGTGAGAGCAGGACACCTGATGTCCTCTCTAGCCTCTGCCACATAAGACATGCACATGTGTATATATGACACACACACACACACACACACACACACACACACACACACACACACACACAAAGTAATTCTCCAACTTGAGATGGCTATCAAATTATAAATAAGAACAAGTGGTGATGCACACCTTTAATCCCAGCAGTTAGGAAGCAGAGGCAGGTGGATCTCTGTGAGTTCAAGACCATCCTGGTCTACAGAGTTCCTTCCAGGACAGCCAGGGCTACACAGAGAAACCCTGTTTCAAACGACCACCACCCCAAAAAAAGAACAAGGGAACAGCAGTAAATTCAATCCTCTTATCATTCTTTATACCCCCACAGAAGCAACTGTTTCTTAGCTCCCAATTCAAATGGTTCATAGTTGACCCAAAATAGTTCTTTCTCATCTTCTAAATCACACAAAATTGAAAATCAAGACAATGTCCAAATATTTTTAAATTAAACATATACCCAAAGTACTCTATAAGTCAAAAACATCATAAATGAAATTAGAACGCATTTACTTAACGAAAACAGAAATATATCAACATTTAGGAGAGACAGCCCAGACTAATTAGAGGGAAGCTGCTAACTTTTCAAGGGTCTAGACTGAGCCAGGCATCATGATGGTAAACACTTGTAGTCTTAGCTACTTAGGAAACCAAAGCAGAAGGATAAATTATGCATGGGAGTTTAAAAGCAGCCTGGACAACACAGTCTCAATCTATGTGTGAATGAGAAAACTGAGTCAGCCTCAAGCCCTTTCTTTGACTAACTAGGACAACAAAAGTTTAAGCAGAATAAAGCAAATGAAGACCAGAAAATGGGGCGGAGCAGAGAGCTCACTCTATTACAAAGCAAGGCCTTGTTTCAAAAATAATTTAGTTTACCAAGGAGGAAAAAAATAACAAAACCAGAAATAAAAGCTATCAGACTATCTCACCTGTGTCCTACAGAAATTTAAAGACCTGGAAAACAACCTCAACAACTTTGTGCTATCAAATCAATCAACTTGGATTAATTCCCAGATAATGACTTAAACTGCCACAAAAATTAAAAACCTGAATGAATAGGCATAGTACCAAGTAACATTATAAGATTAAAAACTGAAAACCCTAAGAAAACTCTAAAGCAAACGGTTGATGGTTTTTCACACACCCACACACACCCCCACACACACACAGGCAGAGAGAGAGAGAGAGAGAGAGAGAGAGAGAGAGAGAGAGAGAGAGAGAGAGAGACCTGACTGGCCCTGTACACGCATGTAGAGGCCAGAGGTGCACATGAGGTGCCTCTGTCACTCTCCACGGGGTTCATCACTGGCCTGTCTCCACCCTAGCAGTGCTGAGGTTAGATAGGCACCTCCATGCCTGGCTTTTAAACATGAGCACTGAGAATCCAAACTAAGGTTCTCATGCTTGCACAGCAAGCACTTTACCCATTCAGCCATCTCCCTTGACCCCTTCATTTTTTGTTTGTTTGTTTAAGGCAGTATTTCTCTGTGTAACAGCTCTGGCTGTCCTGGAACTCACCATGGGGGAAAAAAAAAAAGAAAGAAAGAAAGAAAGAAAGAAAGAAAGAAAGAAAGAAAGAAAGAAAGAAAGGAAAAAAGAAACCAGGCTGGCCTTGAACTCACAGAGATCTGCCTACCTCTGCCTCCCAAGTGCTAGGATTAAAGACTTCTGCAACTACCACCCAGCCATTTTTAAGTTAAAAAAAAAAAATCAGCCGGGCGGTGGTGGTGCACGCCTTTAGTTCAGCACTTGGGCACCGCAAATGCCTCCAGCTCTGTGAGTTCGAGGCCAGCCTGGTCTACAAGAGCTAGTTCCAGGACAGCCTCCAAAGCCACAGAGAAACCCTGCCTGGGAAGGGGGGGGGGGGGGGGAGATGGCAAAAAAGTATTAAGACCCATGGTACTAATACTAATACTAAGGCCATCACGAAGACAAGACAACAATCACTAACTAGACAGAAAAAGAATCTAACATACAACAAAACCTTTCCATTTATAACATGCATTTCCAGAAAACTAAAACTTTTTGTTGTTTTGTTTTGTAAGACAAGGTGTCTCTTCATGTCCTCACTACCCTGGAAGTTACTCTGTAGACCAGGCTGACCTTGTACTCACAGAGATCTATCTACCTCTGCCTTGCAAGTTCTGGGATTAAACTTCTTTAACACATTTTTTTTTCCATTAAAAGTTATTTGAGGTCCTTAAGTGTGGACGAAGGAGAAGAGGGAGGCACTGGACAGAGCAGAGGCAATCAAAGCATTCAAGATGGAAAACAAGATGTAAAACTTGAGATTAGATTAATCCCATATCTGTGTCTAACCCCAAGAAAGCCACACACAAGAACTCTTAAAACAAGTAAGTTTAGGAAGGTTATAACATAACACATTACGACAATCACCGGCTGTATTTCTATTTATGAATTCTCAGTAATTTAATATTTCCCAAAAAACTTCTACTTAAGACAGCACCAAGAATGTATTTTAGGTATTCAGGTAGAAAAACACTTAGAAATACTTATATAAAGGTGAGATGTAAAAATAGCAAAATCACTTTAGAAAACAATTTGTTTCTTTTAAAAGTTAAATAAAGGGGCTGGAGAGATGGCTCGGTGGTTAAAGAGTTCTAGCTACCCTTCCAGAGAAGGTGGGTTTGATTTTCTTACCCACACTTCTACTCACAACCTGCCTCCAATTCCAGCCCCCAGGGCTCTGTCTGACATCCTCTTCCAATCAATCTCTGCAGGAACCAGGCATGCATGTGGTGGTGTGCGTGTGTGTGCAGGCAAAACATGGCATCTTTCTCTTGTGTGCTGCTTTTCTTAAATAAAATACATAATTCTATAATACTCTAACTTATATTTCCCCAACTATATGCCCAATGAAAATGAACCCATTCTGGGTCCCATTATTTGGATTGATAGTTTCTTAGAGTTTTGTGAATGAAACTAAGAAAATTCTGACTGGAGTTTAAAAATATTAATGGACATCTCTTAGCAGCCTGCAATCAGTGACTAATGAAAGACATTAAATAGAGAGTTTGAGGGAGGGAGAGAGGGAGGGAGGGAGGGAGGGAGGGAGGGAGGGAGGGAGGAGGTTGCTGCTAGTGTCAACACACTACACTGTGCTACAAAAAACTTTGTTTTTTTAGTACAAGTACTCTAAGCCAGACATGGAGCATGCACGAGCACACACACACACACACAAAACTGACAAGCACTTAAAATACTTAACAAATGCTAATGACTTAAAAGAAAAAATCCTCAGAACACTGGACCTGGAAGTAATAACAATCATTAAATAAATCCTACAATGGCAAAAACAGTACTAAACTAAAACGCAATGCAAACAGTTTAGACATGAGCACAACAAAGAGACTAAAGAATCAAATCTGACACCTTTAAATGCTAGAACTCTGGCACAGAGGCAGGTTTTTAAACAGACGGGTATCTAAAGCAGACTCTCCTCAACTCCATTCCCTTATTCCTTTAGAATCTCTACTGGGTCACAGACACCTGTAAAAATAGGATACATGTGCACAGACACAAACTGGTGCACAGAATCTTCTGGCAATCATGAATCTTTTCCTTTTTATCACCCAAAGTTTAAAGCTGCTTTACACACTCCTTGAAGAATCTGCCCAGGCAGCTAATGACGGAGTCTTTACCTCCAGCTCAAATCTCCTGAACTTCAGAACATGTGCAGCTACAGTTGTCTTTTCCTAAGCATGCCTTAATCTTCTGCCCCAACCCTTATTCTCTTGGATGGATACTGACACCATCTTTCACCTCTGAAGCCATCCAGATTGTTCACTTCCTACCAGTGCCCCTGCCTGTAGCTCCTAAAATCT